CACAATTGTTTTTATAATGAAAAGATGCAACTTTGAAACTAATATGTTTCAGTTCTTATGAAAAGATACAACCTTTCAACAATTGTTTTGTTTTTCATCTAATGGTCCAAATAAAATTTTTATGCAACTTTAAAAATAATATATATATTTTTTTAAATACACAATTATTTTTATAATGAAAAGATGCAATGTTTAAACTAATATATTTAAGTTTTTTTTTATGAAAAGATACAACCTTTCAACAATTGTTATTTTGAGAAGTCACAATTCTTATACCCTCTTTTAAATACTTTTAAACTATTTTATCTGAAACATAAACTTTTTTTTAATAATGAAAAGATGAAACTTTTAGAATAATAGATAACTTTTTATGAAACTAGACAATTCTATTTATAATAAAAAGATGCAACTTTTAAATTAATATAATTCGGTTCTTATGAAAAGATACAACCTTTCAACAACTTTTTTTTTTGAAAATACACAATTATTTTTATAATGAAAGATGCAACTTTTAAACTAATATATTTCAGTTTATTATGAAAAGATACAATTTTTCAACCATTGTTTTGTTTTTCATGCAATTTTCCTAAAATTTTTTTTTTAGACATACGATATTTATGGCATTAACATATTTTTTTTCGAACAACACATATTTTTACATGAAAGAGTCATACTTTTTCATATTTGAAGGATTACAATCTTTGGTTATAATTGTTTTTTTCTTCTATTGGTCTTAATAATTTTTTTATACATAAATTAAAATTGCTATGAGCAGTTATTTTTTTTTCAAACAACACATCTCTTTAATTTGAATAGTCATACTTTTCCCTAATTCTTGACTTTTTAAAATTTTTTTGAAGAGTTCCAGTCTCGTGGTTGTAATTATTATGGTTCTGTCTAATGGTTTTGAAAATGTATTTGGTTGAACTTTTTTTTCCTCGCAACTCTTGAAAATATTCATTTTAAAACAAAACACAACTCTTGATAATCTATCAATGTACCTTTTAAGATTACTATAAATAGAATGTTTTACAGATGCAATTTTTTAAGAAAATTTATGTGTTTTTTTTTATAATATAGGTATGATTCTTAGTACTCTTGAATATAATGTTTGGTTCAGCGAAACTAAACTACCATATCCAAACCAATCTGGCTGTAAGAAAACAACATTTTTTTTAAAGAGAATTTGCACTCGGTATACACAGATAATACACTAATTTGCACATTGGGAAGTTCTACTGTACACTTTTCATAATGGCTGTTCTGCCCCTATACCAACCTACACGAACCTATAAGCTTTCTCTTTCTTCTTTTTATTGCGTAACTTCTTCTCTTTCCTCTTTCCTCAAAAACTCATCTGTACTTTTCCATCATAATTTTAAAAGAATCCCTAAATTAATCCGGAGAGATTACGGAGCGAAGGGTTTCAAAAAAAGGAAGATGAGGTTCCGATCTGTTTTAGATAGAGCTATGGCGGAGGAGAAGTTTGACGTTCTGACCAAACCCAGGAATGTGTCCTTTCCCCATTTTGGTAACTTGTGTCAAAGGTGAAAGCTTTTTTGCTAATTCTGTCAAAGTTTACAGCTTTGTTTTCTAGCTTGTGTCAATTTTTTGAAATTGTGTCAACTTGATCCTTCAGTGTGTCATTCAATTCCATCATCAAAGTTGTCTTCTGAAAGAAATCTGAACTTTCAGATTTAGACTGGCCAAGATGAAAAAAAAGACATGTAATTTCAGTTTATTCATTAGAATCTTCTTGAATGTTTATTTATCTCTGTGGCCGGATGCATGTAATAGTGACCGGTTAAGATAAACATTATACGTCTAAGCAATATTAATACAAACTCAAGCTCATGTACGTTTTGTTTTGGGTCTATTATCGTCGATGGGACTTCAGTCTCCAGCAAAGATCTTATAGAGATATTGCAGAGAGGACCAGGCAAAAATTTATATCAGTAACAAGTTTAGTTTA